GAAATCAGAGCGCAGGCCCCAAACCCTCACCCCCAGTACTTCAGATCTCTCCCGCGTTAGTGGGAGAGGAATATTCTCGGTCAGGATTAGCTGCCCAAGTGCTGGGAACGGACTGGCTCATCGGTTTCCTCACCTGTCCATAGCCCGATCGCGCATCCGATCTCTTCTCCGCTGCTTCTCCCTCTTCTTCTTCACCTCCTCGTCGTCATCTTCGCAGCCATCTCCAGATGCTGGGGGAGGAAAACAAAAAATAAATCAGAATCAGTGCGTTCCCAAGCACCCGCTTTGCCGGCTGAGGTATTTTGGGATCCAAATCCCTCGGTTTCCTCTTTACTGTCAGCTTCAGGAAGTCACGATTCCTTTCGGTCTCTGGAAGCCCTCCCTCTCCCACGCCAGCTTCCAACCGTAGGGAAGCAGCAGCCTCTTTCCAAAGTCTCTTCTTTCTTAGTGTAAAACCCAAACCCTCCTCTCCTCCAGCTTCCCAGCAACTCCAAGTCTTCACAGGACACGCCGTTAGTGGCAAGAGTCCCTGCTTTTATGATGCAAAGACACCTCTCGTCTCCCTGCCTCGGGAGGAGCCGCTGCTTCTCGTTTTTTCCCCCCATTCATCTATTTTTCATTAGGCTGAGAAAGCTCCTCAAGAAGGTTAAGGAACAAAAGACAGCAGGGACGCTAGCAGCACTCCAGTAGCAGTTCTGCTTCTCTTGGACAGTTTTGGATATATTCTTCACGTCGCTTTCCCAATAGCCTTGATAATTCTTGGGAAAAGCAAAAATTTTATCTGTGGTGTTTTGAGGGTAGAAAGCCAAGTCAGAGGTCCGACAGCCTCAGGTGCAAGGTTTTCAGCCTGGAGAGGAAGGCTTAAATGAGAATTTTCACATCCAACGATGGTTTCAATCCAGAAAACAACCTAAAACTGGCAACAAAAGTCCTGCCCGTGGTTTCCCCCGAGTCACTCGAACACAGGAGGCACAGTGTGCCGGGGGTTGATGTGTCGGCACCGAAAATCACAATCCCAAACCAGCTGAAGTGGCTTCAGCTACTTTAAACCACGTGGTTTTTTAAATTGGTGTTCTAATACACCTTGATAATTCCCATGTATTTGAAAACAATCAAAAGAAAACAGGGTTTAGCCCAGTGACTGAAGTCTCCGCTGAAAATTATTTAGTTGATAGCGTTTTTGCTCTGACCGTCGTCCTCACAGCAGGGCAGGAAGACAAAACTAAAATCCAACATCCACCCGTACAGACGGCAACCATCCGCGCCGAGAAGCCCAAAAGAAATGAAACTGTGAAACATTTCTGTGCCACGACAGGCAGCGCCAGGTCCCTGGACTGGTTAACAGCTCACGGCAGGAGCTGCATCGGCTTTTAACCGAAAAAAAATCAAGCTCTGGGTAGCGTCCCAAGGAAGGCAGATGGAGTCACATCGGGCCATGGGTAAAACCCTACCATCCTCCACCAAATCATCCCAATTCCCCGTTCTCCTGGAAAAGAGAAAGACAAAAAGACGCCGGTGTTATTTCCGGAGGTTTGGAGGCTTCACAGTCCACCCAGAGCGCAGAGCGGGCGGAGGGTTCTGTCATTTGGGGATTAAATGTCCGTTTTTATAAATGTTTAGTTGTTTTCCGTATATCGGGTTCTATTTTGCCGCTAAGTATCACCTCTCAAAATTTAAAAGCTCAGGAGCCGGGTCGCCGCTCCGAGGAACACCGCACCGAAGGTTACACGCAGTCACGAGTAACACAAACGGCAACGATCCCCACACAACCCGGCAAACCAACCACTAATTGGAATCTGGCCCTAACGAGCCTCGCCAGATGCAGAAGCACAGGCGTCGGGTCCCGACCCTTCCACTACAAATGCTTTTCAGGCAGCTTGGTGCAAGCGCATCTGCCAGGAATCCCTGCTGAAGGGCACGGGGAAATTACGAGCAGCAAATTCTTTCACAATTTACGGGCTCAGAATGCCATTTCTGAGTTATTTTAAATATTCCGACCCTCAGGGTGGTCAAAAGAGCGGAGGAAACTCCTCAAGTGCTTAAATATTCCCATGTTTGCCACTAAAACTGATAAAAACGAAGTTACTTACACCTTTGTCAGCGTCATCTCCTGATTTTTCCTCTCCTTCACCCTCATCTGCTTCACAAAACAAAAATAAAAATCATTTAGCTGGTGTTGGGGGTGGGGGTGTGTATGTGGGGGTGTGTGTGTGTCTTTTCTCGCACTCCACACTCCCGGGAGTCCCTAATAAATCACAAAGTGCTGCGATCACGGCTCAAAACCCCAGTGAAGGTCCCAGACTCACTGGTTTCTCTTTGCCCATCAGGCTCTGCTGCAAACTCGGGCCTTACTTTCACGATGCTCACCTCGGGCATTAAATTTTGCCCCAAAATCCACAGATCATAAACCCTGGGCGTTTGCAGGAGCATCACAACAACGCTAACGACCAGAAAAAATACAGCAGCTTTGAAGTGTAACAAGCATCAGTCAGGTGAAAGATAAAGCACTTCAAAATGGGGGAAGACGGCCGGTATTAGGGGGTGAAGACGGGCTCGTACCGTTCTCGGTGTCGTCTCCTTCGCTGTCGGTCTTCACCTGTTTGCTGTCCGGCTCGTCGCCGCTTTGCGACTGTTTTCGTTTGCGTCCTCCTCCCTCACCGTCCGATCGCCCTCCGGAACGGTTTCGGAAACCTCTTCTTTTGGGCTAAAGCAGGAAGAAATCAGTCGTTACCAATCAACTCAAGGCACCAAAAAAAGCTTAAAAATCAAAGTATTCCACCCATCTGCTGCATCTCCTAAAAAAGTTTAAATTCTTGTGACCCTGCAGGCTTGTATTTGGCTATAAAAGGGTTTTATAGCTGGGTTAGCACCCCTAGAGCGGGTTTGGGATGGGGTAAGCATTCCGAGGCTCTATTTTACGTGGAAATGAGTATGTGCAAGCTCGGTGACAGGAAGATTTAAATTATTCTGCGGTGGAAGCACTGTGAATTAAGAGGCGTGCTTCTCCAAAGCACTCCCTACCCACCGAGGCAAGCAAAAAGCAATCTCGACAAGGAAAAAAAAAACCGACCGTGACGACTTACCGTGAACGTGTTCATGTGCCAGGGCACCGTACCCATCCTGTCTCTGTTTCGTTGCCTCCCCATTCCGTACGGCACATTCCCATACCGTCCCACTCCCATGCCCGACATCCCCATCATGCCATAGTCATAGTCGCCGTAGTCACCATAATCTCCGTAGTCGCTGTAATCTCCATAGTCGCCATAGTCGCCGTAGTCACCGTAATCTCCGTAGTCGCCGTAGTCACCATAATCGGGAACGAGGGCTTGGGAAAAGAGGGAAGGGAGCCTGTTGGATCCAGCACCCCCCATCCCACGCCCACCCATGTAGTTCAACTCATTCCAACGAGCCGAGAGGCGCTCGGAGCTGGAGGAGGGCATGAAGTGGTCGGTGCGGTTGAAAGTGTTCATACGTCCTCGGTTTTGAACGCGGTTTTGACCCCGGCCTCGCGTCAGGCCGTAGCTGTTTCCTCGGTTACGAGACTGATCCCTGCGGTTGTCGAACTGGCTCCCGAATGAATCGTTCCGATCGGTTCCGACGTCTCCGTAGTCGTAGCCGGATCGGTACATGTCGCGGTCGTTCATCGAAGATCTCGAGTCGTACGAATCGAAAGACTCAAATCTGAACGAGCTGCGCGGGAGGAGATGACAGTCAGCAGCCAGCGTAACGTTCCCACACACCCTACAGGTGTTGGCACCCGTTTTTATCCCAATCCAAGTGGTTTTGGCCAGGAAAACCAAATAAAACCGTTTTTAAACCCTTAAACTTTCTGTATCCCACATCTCCTTTTCCTAAGTTCCAGGGAAAATAGATAAATATGCAAGAACCGTGGTTTATTGCACAAGCATCTGAACAGAAATTCCTCAGAGATGTCCAACTTCACTAACTTTATAGAACTAAACTACTCTGATTTACTTTTTACCAGTGGAAAAGCAGACCCCCAAAGCTTCCCAAGGTAAAAGCTGCTTCTCGCTGTCTCGTAGCTGCGCCTCCGGGTGTGAATTAATGCAGATAAACCCCTCAGCATCTCGTCTGAGCACAGCAGCGAGCGTCAAACGGCAAAAAAAAAAGAGGCAAAACTTCATTTGTTCACTAACTCTTGCCAAGATCCGTATGATATTTCAGCAGCAAAATACGCACAGATACGAAACAACTCTCCAGACTGGCACAATTTAACCCAGCAGGAGATAAAACCAACATAATTACTGGGCAGCTGTGAAGAAAAAAAGACGCAGAGGGGAAAAAAAAATTAAAAAACCTAAAAACTAGAAATAAAAGTCTGTAAAATCTAGGAATTCACCGACACCAGTAGTCGCTTTAAACGCCTGATGTGTACAGCAAGTTTGGTATGTTTCAAATCTATATATAAAAAATACGTATGTGTATGCGTGTACATGCATATGAGGACAGGTAAAAAATAAGTAATTAAACCTGTTTTCCAGGGAACAAACGCTGGATCGTGCCTATGCAATTAGAAAAGCTTAATCTCAACTTATACTGATTAAAAGCCGTTATGTGGAACAGTCACCTCTCCTGGTCTTCCATCCCCTCCCCTGTCCCGCCGCTGCCCTCCTTCGACAGCATATCCAAACGCTGGTTGATTTTGGCGATGATGGAATCCGAGTTCTCGTTCGCCGAAGACTCGGCGCCGTACGAGGCGCCGGGCATGGCGGCGTTGACGTCGGCGTTCATGCTCATGTCCGACGGTTTGGGGGTTTCCCAGCTGCTGGAGGTGCCAGCGGCGTAGTTGTACGTGGCCGCTGTATTAGCGCCGGTGGTTTGGGTGTTGTAATAGTCGTAGCCTTCATAGCCTGGATGGGAAGGGAAATAAAAACCGATATTAATACGGTATTATAAAGACACAGGTACTTGGAGGAAGAGTTTAGATGCGGGTGGACCCTACCAGGCGAGTCTGCAGCTGGCTTTTACCTCCTTTAAAAGAAATCTGGTTTCTTAAAGTGAGAAATATCAAAGATCCTTGTTCCCCAACCCTAAAATCGTAAGGACCTTCCTCCTGTGGGTGATTTTAACTGCAGAAACAGAGCGCCACCGGTTATACTCACAATTTCTGAACCAGACCCCAAGCCGTCTACTTTGCACACAAAATGACACAAGAAAACCAAAAGCGGACGCGCTGCCGGGCACATGGCCCCATGCCCAGCCAAAAAGGGCCACGATGAAATAAATTAATCAGAAATTCAAATCAGGGAGTCGTATTCAAAGAGCGCCTTGCGGCAAGACACCACAGCGCGGTGGAAAAACCACTGCGGCCACGCTTGTGAAGCTCCCGACGCTTCCGGCGATCCCGAGATTCGGACAGAGGGATGCGCATGTGCTCCCGGCCATCTTCGTCGCAGCTCTCCGGCCCCAGCATGAACCCGGTGTCGCTCCGGCAGCGACACGTACCACGAGCCCCGCAGCGAGCTTCCTCTCGCTGCTCCCGACCCGCCAAACCCTTCGCTCTGTCAGTTCTGAGGCTCTCGTAAAGCAACCGCCGTAATAATCCCTCTTAATTCTCCTTTTCCGTGACGTCTGCGATAGAATTGACATCGCTCGGACTGCCGGCGTGCCGCTGCTGGCTGTGCTGACCGGCACGGCCTCGCTGTGTCTTTGTATTCCCCCATCTGCCCGTGACTTCTGTTTTTATTGAGATTATCAGCTCTCCGGAGCAGGAACAGCCTTTCTGCTCTGCATCGGCACAATGCCCAGCACAACGGGGCGCGAGTACTTCATGGTGGCGTCCAGGCTTTACAAAAAAAGAGAAATAATAGAAGAAAAAAACCCCTTGTTTTCACCAACGGCTTGAGCTGGGAGCTTTGAATCCGCATCCCAATGCGCAGCATTCAATTTTATATTGTGAGAAATAATACTCTACAAAAGAATCTCAGGCTTTTTCTTGGGAATGCGTTACGGCCAGCTTACAACAGCCATACGATCCAAATCAAGGCTAATTAACTAACTGCTCCGAGAGGAAAAGTTTATTAGCTAAAGCAAATCACGGTTTATAAGGGAAGTGCCAGCCTGCATGTGGAGAACTGCATTTGTGTGCCACCAAGCTGCCAGAATTACAAGGGCAAACCTTGGGTTTTGAGAAAAAAAAATTATATAACCTCAGTAAAATCAATTTATTAATCCACACACATGGCTGTCCCAGATCAAACCAGAACCAAAGAGGTAAAATAAATAAACTTTTCTCATCCAGGAGGTAATTATTCTGTTTTAAGGAATCATCAGGACAGAGCTGCTCCCCTGGCAAGAAAAAAAAAAGGTAAAAGGTACAAATAAATAAACGAATCGGTGAGGAGGCGTGGTTTAAGAGCACGGCCTTGCGTGCGTCACACCGGCTTCCAACAGAGGCACTTCACGAGCTGGAAAACAGCTCCGCTCGCCGCAGCCGACTCGAGAGACTGAGCAGGGCACCCCTGAGGAGGGTTTTGCAGCACGTACCTTGCCAACTCGTCGCGTTCGTCCCGTATGTACCTGAAAGGGACAGAGAAGAGAGTTTCAGCTTCAAAAACAACAAAGTTAAAAGTTCAGAGACTAAATAGATGTAATTCAGCTTAATTGCTGGTAAAAATGACGGATCCTTTTGCACAGAATGGGAAAGAAAGAAGCTGGGACTTCCAAGAGCTCTAATTATGAAAATGAAATCAGTAATATATACTTTTTTTATACATTTTTGGAAACATTTTCATACATTTGCACTTGAAAACAACTCAAATGATGCCACCAAAACCCTCAGGTAGCAGGAAAACCACAGCAAAAGCAGCAATGCTCGTTGTGATGTCGCTTTCAGGAGCGCCTCGCTGCTTTTACTGTTCAGGCTGGAAAGGCGTTCAAAGGAGAGAGCCCAAACTCACAAAGACCCCGGGACACGCTTCGTTTTGCAGCGCTAATAAATCTCAGAGATACAGCAAAGCGCTTGCTCAATTATACGCGAGGTCGCGCCCGGTTCCTCCAGTACATGACACTGGGAATTGGAGGGTATCACGGCATCATGGAGGAAGCTTTTACAGAAAAGTAAGTAGAAAGTCACAACAAGAGGTAGAGGAGAAGAAAGGCTGGGAAAACTGTTTCTATCTCACATTAATCTGGTTAGAAATAAGGAAAAATCAGTTTGATTCTAAAATTGCCATTCCCTGGATCTATTCTGAGAGACGCAAAACTCACCTTGAGTGTTGGCGGCCCCAGTATTCCATGAGCCATAACCTGGAAGAAAAAGAACGGAGCCGTTAGGAGGATCGCCTCCGCTCCTACCGCGGGGTTTATTTCTGCCCTTCACTGACTCGAGAACCAGTAAAGTCTTTAATTACAGCTGCACTTGTGCTTCTTACTGTTTGGGAAACACCCCCAAAGCTCGTCCGATGCTTTATTTTGGATTGATTCAACAATCTAAATGTCAACGAGATGTTTTGGATTCAAAAAAAAACCCCACTGTGTTTTGAAAGGGAAACCAGTTTGAAGGGGTGCTTAGCGGAACGACGGCGCAAAGCTGCGTTTAGGCAGGAGAAAACGTGCCGGATAAATCACCCAAAGAACCGAACCGGCATCGTAACGGATGTTTCCATTGTGTTACGCAAGCAGAAGCGGCCCTTTTCCTGGGGAATATTGGATATCCTCATACGTGACCCCAGGCGAGTACCGCTATCACACAAGCCACCAAAACAAATTGATCTCCCTCTGCTTCTCAGCACTAATTGCAAGATTCCCGCTAACGAGGTGGCTTCAGTCTGGTCTCTCCCAAAATAGCAGCAGGATGAAGCCTTCGCCCAGGTGGACGAAGAAGTGAAGGGCCACAACACGCAGCAGCTCCCACTACGACTTCACCGGCTCTTTTACTTCACAGCAGCGATTTTTCCTCCTCAAAAATCAATTATCTCCCCGTTTTAAACCTTTTCCAAAGTTTCCAGGCTGCAATCAGCATCCCCAGCACCGCAGAGAGCTCAGCAAACGCCTCCATCGGCTCAAAGGGCATCAGATAAATAAGCTCCGTGCTGCAACGAAATCTAAATCAAATGTTGAAACCAAAAGCAATGCCCTGGGTCTTTTGCTGGAAATGTTTCCCGGAGTCTTGGCTGCCGCTTCTCTGCAGGAAAAGGAATTTTTTTATCTGTATTTATTATTCTGATCAGAAAAATAAGCTGGCCCACAAGCAGAACTACCGATGCCCGGCTTCCTACGGATCCAAATTATTTCGATACCCGCTGTATCACCCCAAACTTCTCCCCGTTTCTGTACTGGCCTTGCCTTCACCCCCTTGAGCTGCAGTTTCCCTTCCCCTTTGCACCCTCACCCCCCTCCAAACGCTCCCGAGCTGAGGAAGAGGCTGCACAAGCCAAAAAAATCACACACGCTTCCTCTCTCCTTTTAAGGTTCAGGTTGCTTTTCTGCACCTTCGACACCAATTTTGCAAAGATTTTCTGCTTCCGGAGGTGGCCACCAATTTTGCGCAGCTTTTTGTATTTCTGGAATTCACCCTCAATTTCGCAAAACTTTTTCTTTTCGGGAGACAGCCCCCGATTCTGCAAAATCACTTTTCCTTTTTGGCGACAGCCCCTCATTTTGCAAAGCTTTCCTTTTTTTTGTGGCAGCCCCCAGTTCCGCAAAACTTCTGGATTTCTGGAGGAGGTCCACGATTCTGCCAAACCTCTCTATTTTTGGAGGCAGCCTCCAATTTTGTGAAGTTCTTCTGTCTTCCAAGGCAGCCCCACATTTTGCCAAACTTTTCTATTTCTGGAGACAGCCCCCAACTTTCCAAAACTTCTTTACTTTTGGAGATAGCCCCCACCCAGTTTTCCAAAACTTTTCTGGTTTTGGCAGCAGCCCGCGATTTTGCGACGCCTTCACGTTTTCCGGAGGC